CCATCTACAGAGTCTAAGTGTGTAGGTTGGTGTCTATGCATACATATCACTGAGCTTTAAAAAGAACGGGAGGAAATGGGGCGACAGATTCTTGGATTATCTTATAAAATGTTGTCAAGGGACCCAAATTATAGGCCTGTACATATTAGTTTCTTCAGACCGTGAAGTAGAGTGACCCTTAAAATAAAACGAAAGAAATTTACGTCGCAGTACTCGTATAATAAAAGGCTTTTTCATCTTACCGAGTCTCGTTCGTCATTATGCGAATTTGTGCATCCTCACATTACCGCCCCTAGATTGATCCCAAATTAGTCCGTAGCAGTTAACATAAGGTCGTTGTGAGCCCCGAACATTAGATTGGCTGTGAATGACGAATCGAAAGCAGATATATCTTGAAACAGCCGTGGGTTTTCTTGAGGCAACAACTTACCATAATCAGAGTAACCGACCTCCAGTGCTGAAAATGAACTGAACTCTTGACAGAAAGCACTCGACTGCGGCGTTCGGTTTCAGCTGTTGAAACGACATAAAGCATACCAGTCAAACATGATACGTAAGGGCAAAGGCAGAATTTTCCCTGTACTAAATCAAGCGTCGTAAGTTGAATGGTTATGGGGGAGTGGAAGTACAGCCTGGCATTATATGGAGATGATGTTCAGCTTCACGCCTCCAGTATCTGTAGACAGGAGACTGGGGGAGCTGCAGGCCGGTTTAAACACTGTGAAGAGAGAAATGTATTCGTGTCCATATTCCTCTGTCGTCATTACACTGATGGCCTTCGTGTTATTGTTTCCGAAACGGCAGTAATATACTTCCGGTCAAGTTAGAATGGACATAATCCACAGTAGAGGAGAGTCAATGCGTAACCTTGAAACAAATTGCTACTGGTGTCCCATTCGTAATAAGCTACCCAGATATCCATTGGTATACTCTTCAGCATGACCTTGGACAATGCCCGGAAACAATGGAAGGGCAATAAATTTTATCACTAATCGAAGTGTTGTCGCATCTAATTAATATTTATTATGAGTCCTACTCGTAAGAATTCTCCCTCGTCCGCAAGTAATCGCTGACTTCCGATGCTGCGCCTTCTCACCCTCCCCGCCCTTCTTTCCCTTACATGCGAACGCTAAAATGAGATCGTAGCAACGTTCTGCTGTGCGCAATGTCGCATGTGGCAACGTCATGCTTTGGTACACCCCTGAGAAAATAAACGTCCCGAACGGAGTTCTGGATTACCGCACTGATGTGCAGGTCTGACACTCCTCGGATGGGTTACTGGCCGAATCGGCATTCGATTAGTGGCAGGGACACAGACTTGTCCCTTTTTTACAGCGACTACCTCAGTCAGACAGGTGTTCAGATGTTCCATCTCACACTGAACGCTCTGAAATGCATTTCAGAAAGAATTCAGCTCATTATCGGAAATGCAATTGAGGAAACAAAATATACCAGTTATGCTTGGTCTGTAAACATGAGTTCAATTTCTGAATTTGTTTCAGGAGGTTGTATCATAGTTAAGTTTCGTTACCTTGTACATTATCCGTCGCCTGGCCACGAGCGCGTCGTTCTACATCATTGTCAATTGTATTATTCATCAATGATATTGCGAAAGCCGAGGTACTGACAGCGTCGTCGAATAGACACTGAGCTTCAGCCACTCCACACCCGGCTTTTGCATCCACCCAGTCTCAAATGCGAGGGTGATGGTGGGCTCTTCGCTCAGTTATAAAATGACTGAATATGTAACCCAGTCGTTCAGGATTCCACCTTCATCTAGTATTGAGACCTTTCACGAGTACACTTTTACCACTACGCCCCTATGCACCATCGTTGCGAGGGGCTGAAGTCAATTGTATAGCCTTACCTGACCAACACTGTGATCTGTGTTATTATTTATTATGACTAGCAATGCTCGTGTGAATCGGCTTCATTGCAATTTAACCGTAATAACTACAATGAAGACGTATTTCAGCATGGATCGTATTCCGTATTCCGTATTGAGGGGGTGGGTTTCCCCATGCATTTAGACCGGTTAGTGGTCCATTGTGCGTCCACCTTTAATTTCTACTGTCTCCATACCCTACCGGTACTGGTGCCTACTATCAGCCCCTTTCTGCAGCGAGGTTCCAACCTCCTCTGGCAGTGGTATCTAACAGTTAGTCCCTTTCTGCCAGAGAGGTACACCCCTCCTCTGGCAGTGGTACCTAATACTTCCCCATCTACCGGAGGAATTGGAAACTACTTGGGCGGGAAATGTTGCCTAATTTTGCTCAGAGGTCTCCTAGAGCCATGAGGTTCTTTTACGTGACGTAAATCTACGACACGGGACCCACGGCTTGAAGCCCCTCCCGGAGGACTTGTTCCCTGAATTTTTCCGCCCTTAAAAATTCCACGACCTCCGCCGGGTTTGAACCCCACGTACCTTGAGTCATGAGGTGGGAACGTTACCCCTAGACTACGGAGGCCGCTACCATGGGGCGTAACTCGTGAACACTGCAAACTACCAGGCGGTCTTCGATAATCTCACTCACAAAAAGAAACCCTCCGTGGCCTGTAGTCCGCAAACGAACTATACCGACCAAGCGACAGCCACTTGTCGGCGAAGTTAGTGCCAACTTTTACGGAGAGAGTGGGTCATGTGATCAGCGCAGCGGTTCCCCACGGCTCCTAATCTCGGTTAATCTCACTCACAGAGATTGATATTAATTTGTAAACGAGGTATAAACTATTACCAATTTATAATCCAAATTTAACCGCAATAAATACAATCATGTTACCAAAGTATTGCTCGTAACGTCAAAAACAATCAACGTTAACAACGCCATCTACTATTGCGCTCTGCTGTTAACGCTAGTGTACAAGACCTGTAATCGGGCAGTCAGTGTTACGGAGAGCTGCCAGACACATCCACTTAAGGTCACCACAATTACAGGAATTTTACAATTTACAATTTTACAGGAAAAACCCTCGTACCTTGGGCAGGATTTTTGATTACTCTAAAAATCTATTCACCACAGCTCTAGCTAGTTTGAACAGGCACAAAATTTGATTTAGTCCCTCCCTTGCTGCTTTATACTAAAATATTAGACGTGCTAAAAGAATGCGACAATTAAGTTTTTAAATATGATGTCATGTGACCTGGTGTACAACAGTACTTTGCATCTCAGGCCACCTACCAATGTGCCCTCGACCCCTCAGTATGTGGTACACAAAATCGAGGGGAAACCTTTTACTTGAAACTATCTAAAATACACTTCACTGGTTTCTTTTCAAATTCACAAATAAACAAGCAGTAATTTGCAAAAATTACACATATATATATTGGACGATCATCTAAGGCTCTGTCAGTTGTAATGCATATGAGTGAAGTAAAAATGGGGAAAAGTATGAAATACAATTTAGGAAATGTAGGCCTGAACATGAAACCGGTGCTGGGAGAAACGCCGCCATAACCGCAGATAGCATTCGTTTCTGAACTGTCTTCAGCCCTCCCTGCGAACTTCACTATTCTCTCTCCCTCAGTCTCAGGCAAAATGACACCAATGAAACGTTTCTTTATTTGTGGCAGAATGTAGTAAAATCAAATTTCCTTGCTGGAAAGGAAAGTTTATTTCATGGTAAGCATTTTGTTTTACATCTTGATAATGGCCTGCCAATTAGTTAAGTTCTTGTGGATTTTATCAAGAAATATGTCCCCATTCACCAGCCGCTGGAGTGAGATATGCCTCGGGTACCAGATGATGCACCGATTAAAATATGGTTCTTAAAGTTAGCAAATGGGAATATTAACACTGGAGGTACTAAATTGCCCCGGACATTAATGCATCCAGTGAAGGTGATAGCGACTCCCTTCTATCCAGATTTCACACTGCCCCAACTGCTTACTCAACTTTTAAAGTCAAAACTGTAGGGATACTGTGAATTGTACAAATCCCGCTCTATTAACATTATAAACATGTTCAAGACGTACATGTTTTTCTAAAATCTCGCTGTATTCTTTTTAGAAAATGACGTCTACCTAGGCTGATGGCTTGAGGCTTTCTCAGGGAAGCGATATTGCTGGTTCTTTTCATAAAATCAGTGACCCACTGATCAGGGGCTTAACCAATCACATCCCACGACTTAGGACACCTTTCGTCAGACCATTTCCGAACTGACAAATTAGTTGCATTGCTCCTTTCCTTATTAAACTACCATGAATATGGATGACTAGCAGTGGTAACACAGCCTATCAGCTTCCACATCTGTTGAAACAGAGTCCACGCTGCACATTCACTTTTGTAGAAGAACTCTCCGGCATCACTTTCGCTTTGATCATCAAGATGATCTCTACAGCTCAAGCAGACAAGCCAACAGCGAAAGCAAGATCCTGGCAGTCTCTTGACTGCGTCTGCATCTGAAAGCATAGAGCTTTAGAAATATGTATGCGAAGCCTTTGGATATCTCTGCCTATTTGTTCGTAAATTGCAAGCAGAATAAAATATAGAAGCTACACTTACTATAACTGTGCCTTAAATTATCTGTTTTCGCATTTGTACCTTGGGCCATGGCCATAAGTACCAAGAAGAACAATTGCCTCAGGTACGCGGGTACGACATTCTAATTTGAGGTTCGTTTTAGCATTTACTGTTATGGACAGACAAGCTTGGTAAACATCACATTAAATTCATAAAATTATAAATAAATTATGAGTTAATTTTTAATAATTTCCCATACTTTTTCGTCCAGAAATTCAGAACTGCTGCTAAGTATATGTATAACAGAAGCTGTGAAATGTACATAATTGCTAAAACTCCAATGGATTGATGCCGTCTGCTACTGCCTGGCACGGAACAAAGCCCTGGCTATTGTGACACCAGTCTCTAAGCACTAGAATAGAAAGTTCCCTCTCGCAATGCAGACAGATAAGATGGGTGGCCCAGGTACAAGGGCCTCCCCTACTTACGTGTATATATATAGAGGCATTATCATTATATTGTTAATGTTATGTGTTGCAGCACATCACTTACAACGTGATCCGGCGCGCCATCTTCTGCTTGTGGTTCGCGGTCCTCGTGTTAGTGTGCCTGCCCTTCACTGGGTTCGGGCGTTACTATGACAGTGGCTGTGTCCGCTACAGGGACGCTACCGTGACAGTGGACATAGTGTACGCTTACCTGTTCTTCGTGTTCGGTAAGTGAATCCCAAGATCGGAGTAAAAACAAATTCGTAGAGCATAAGTGACAATCTTATTCTTACACAGTGTCATCATATTTATCTCAGCCCTCTCCTTCCTTGTCTTCTGTTTGTCATTTTAATATTGAGCCTCATAATTTATATTGTGGTCTTTTTGCATGGTACAGCATAGATCAGCAGCTGGTTACCAATATTTTCGAAGAACCTGCAGCCTCTTTCATCAAGGTTGTAGTCTCATGGAGGCAGAGGGTTCGCCCGAATCCCAATGACCAGTTACCAGGCTATCAAGTGTTATAACGGGAATGACCACAATGTAATTCATCAGCCCCGTAAAAAGTTCAGATCGCCTATTCTTCATTATGAACTTCGTCTCTTTCACTTCTTCACTTTAATCGTTTCTATGTATTCATCATCTTTACCATCTTACTATCTTTTCCCTTCATATTCTTCTAAGAGTCATTCTTTGATCTCCTTTGCTTCTCCTTTGGCTTGTGCTTCATATTAACATCTTCACTCCCCTAACTTTACTTCCAAAATTGATAATGATTGTTTGATGCTGCATCAGACTGTCGCAAGATCTACAACATCAAAATTAAATACGGGAAACCGCAAAACATTCAGCTATTCGCCGGGCAGGATTCGAATTGGCGATAACAGCATTGAAACACTTGAGAACCACATGGAACTCATGTTAATGTAAGGACACTGAGGAAAGTTACGATGTCCTGGGAATGTAGCTCGGATATGGAACAAAATATTGATATGACAACTACTTCGAAAACTTATAAGGGCATGAATCTTAGCGAAGGAAGAAGGAACTGGCTCCAGATTGTACGCAGTGGCGGAGTATTTTCACAGCTGTCTTGTTCAAGTTAATTAACTGGCTCATCTATGGAGAACTAAAGATATTACACTTGGGCAAAACGAGACAGGTTCTGCAGGTTAAGGAGAACTTTATACCAACAGAGAAAGAACACAGCTCGGGATAACCATTTATTTATGTTAATTTTAACTGTTGTTAGGAGCCGGGATACTGTAGTCATTATAGCGACTGGCTAGGGGCTGGACGGCAAAGGGGTCGGATTTCGAGTCCCAATAATTTCAAGAATTTTCTCTTCTCCACGTCGTCCACACCGGGTTTGGGATCCACCCAGCCACCTATATAATGGGTAAAAGGGGCTCTTTCCCCGGGCGTAAGTTGGCAGGGAAGTCAGTTTTGTTTTACGTTTTTATACGAAAATTTAATTTCAATTAAAGTTTAAAAAATGTATTAACAATATTATATTGCTAAAGGGACTATCGAAATAGAAAAGACTGATTCTCTCATTAGTCTCATAAGGAAGTACTCTTCGTCTCAGCATACTCTTCGTGAGGCCAAGGCACATAATGCAGTCCTCTTGCGTAAGGCCATATCGATACACCCCTGTCCATGGAATAAGATGAAACTGACAGAATGAATACAAATGAAGGGACGAAATGAACGCGAATTGGTGCGGAGAGTAATTATAAACTAAAGCCCTAGGTAGGGGCTTACTCTTACAGAAAAAGCATGTAAAAGGGATACACTTATTCCCGCTTTTCAGCAGTACTACGAACTAATTTCAGAATCTGTGCACTACATAAGTATCGTGTTCAAATCTCAAATAGTTTCTTGACCTTGGAAAACTTAAGACACTGAGGTGGGTGTTAATAAATTTTGGGAAACTGTTAGAGAGAATATCAAAATTCCTGCCAAAGAGAGTCTGTATTATTATGAACTGAAGAAGCATAAGCCATGGTTCGGCGATGGATGCTCAAAATTATTAGACCAAAGTAAACAAACTAAACTGCAGTGGTTACAGGTTCCAAGCTAGTTAAATGGGGATAATCTGAACAATAAAAGACGTGAAATCAGCAGGCATTTCAGGAACAAAAAGAGGGAATATCTGAAAGACAAAATTGATGAGCTTGCAATGAACAGTAGGAACCAGAATATTAGAGACCTGTATGGAGGAATAAATGACTTTAAGAAGGGTTACCAGCCTAGCAGTAACTTAGTGAAGGATGAGAATGGTGATCTGCTTGCAGATTCCCACAACATTTTGAATGGGTGGAGGAACTACTTCTCTCGGTTATAGAATGTACATAGGGTCAGTGCTGTTAGGCAGACAGAAATCCATACAGCTGAGCCGTTAGTACCTGATCCTAGACTTTTTGAGATTGAAAGTGCTATTGCAAAATTGAAACGATATAAATCACCAGGTAGTGGTCGAATTCCGGCAGTACTTATACAAGCAGAAGGTGAAATATTATGTTCTAATATCCATAAGCTAATTGATTCCATTTGCAATAAGGGTCATTCCATGTGAAGTCATCCAGTTAAGTCGCTCGACCATTTCTTAAAAAATAATATATTGTGTACACTTATTTCTACATATTTTCATACTTCAAAAAATCTTTAAAAAATGTAATACGTTCGGTTCTCCCAGTACAGACGTTTTTATATGCGAAAAAACGCGTTTCCTGCTGAAATGGAAGTTTGCGTTATCTTCTATATCTCGAAAGTTATTGATGCTAGAAACTCCAATAAAAAACTGATTTGTTCCGCATGATATGAACTATAATTCATTTTATTAAAAGCTTTTACTCAGCTCACTTCCTCTAGGTCTAATTAAGCTTGAAATTCGCAAATCGATTTTGAAATAAAAGCTATTTTTGACTTTCAAAAACCAATGGGAGGGGGAAAGAATCAGATCTGTGGTTTCTACCCTTTGTTGTTGTCTACATGGGAAATATAATCATGCAGTTTTGAACCCCGTATCTATTTTCCAAAGTTGTCCAGGAACTTCCAAACTTAGTTCTGGGCCCAAAATCGCCCATATTTAACTCATATCTCTGGTGGGAAAACTCTGAAAATTTTGAAATTATAGCAAATAATGCTCTATTCAAGAGTAAATTGGAGTTAAAATTACAACTTCGAGATTCTACTAAGAGCACTTTGAATTTTTCCAAAAAATCAACACCTCAACAATTGGCTTACCTTCATCCAGTGGCATTAGTGGTTCTTTATTCGGTATAAAAACGATAGATTTATCTTTTGTCATTCCGAGCAGTAAGCACAGGCCTGAGACATCATTTTCATGCCTGTACTTACCGCTCGGAATAACATGTTATCAACAATCGCTCCTGGAAAATAGATACGGGGTTTAAAATTATGTAATTATATTCCCCATGTAGGCAACAACAATGAGCAGAATTTGCAGATCTGATACTTTCCCCCTCCCATTGATTTTGAAAGTCAAAAATAGCTTTTATTTCAAAATCAATTTGCGAATTTCAAGCTTAATTAGACCTAGAGGAAGTGAGTTGAGTAAAATCATGCAGTAATGTGAATTGTAGTCCATATCATGAGGAACAAATTAGTTTTTTCATTGGGGTCTCTAGCTTCAATAGTTATCGAGATATATAGAAGATAAGGCAAACCTCCATTTCAGCCTAAAACGCGTTTTTTCACATTACAAAAACGGCTGTACCGGGAGAACCGAACAGATTAAAACAATTAAAGTATTTTTGAAGTATGAATATATGTAGAGATAAGTGTACAAAATATTTTTTTAAGGTCGAGCGACCTATCTGCATGACATCGCATGGAATGGCCCATAAGGAAAAATTGCCGGATCAGTGGAAGGAGTTTATTATTGTACCAGTTCACGAGAAGGGTGATAAAACTAACTGTAGTTATTATCGGGGGATATTTCTGCTATCAACTTCATACAAAATGTTATCAACATTCTCATCTCAAGGTTAAGTCCATATATATCGATGAAATTATTGGGGGTAATCAGTGTGGGTTTCGACTTAACAGATCAACTACAGATCAGACTCTAGCATTCGTCAGATACTGGAGAAAAAATGGGAGTACAATAACAGCACATCAGCTATTCGTAGACTTCAAGAAAGCCTATGATTCAGTCGAATGAATGAATGATTCATTCATGATTCACTTAGGAGGGAAGTATTGTACAATATTATGATAGAATTTGGGTACCCATGAAACTGGTTAGGCTGATTAATATGATTTTGAATTGTTTCNAATATGAGTTTAAACGAAACATATAGTAAAGTTCGTATAGGTAAATATTTGTCTGATAAACTTCCTATCCATAATGGTCTAAAACAAAGATATGCTTTATCGCCACTCCTTTTCAACTTTGCCGTAGAATATGTCATTAGGAAGGTCCAGGAAAAGGAAGTAATGCTGATATTAAACGGGACACATCAGCTGTTGGTCTGTCCCGATGACTTCAATCTGCTAGATGATAATGAGATACCATAATGGAAAATAAAAAACCTTATTTGACACAAGTAAGGAGGTTGGTCTAGAAGTAAACACAGAGAGAACTAAGTATATGTTGCTGTCTCGTCACCAAAATGCAGGGCAAAATCATGACATAAAGATAAGAAACAGATATTTTGAAAATGTGGCACAGTTCAGATATTTGGGAACGATGACAACAAAACAAAACCTGATTCAGGAGGAAATTAAGAGGAGATTGAACTCGGGTAATGCTTGTTAACATTCAGTCCAGAACCTTTTGTCTTCTCGTCTGCTGTCCAAAAGCGTAAGAATTAGAATACACCAAATTATAATTTTGCCTGTGATTCTGCACGGGTTTGAAATTTGATATCTGTCATTAAAGGAGGAACATAGACTGAGGGTGTTTGAGAACAGGGTGTTGACGAGAATATTTGGACCGAAGAGAGGTGAACAGACAGGAGGCTGGAGAAAACTGCATAATGAGGAGCTTCATAACTTGTACTCTTCTCCAAGTATAATTAGAATGCTCAAGTCGAGGAGGATGAGGTGGGCAGGTAATGTACCACGAATGGTAAAGAAGAGGAATTTATATAGGATATTGGTGGCAAGTCTCTGACATTAAGTGAGGAGCACAGACTGAGGGTAACACAGAATTACAGGGTTTTTGGACTTTCCATCATCCGGAATTCTAGGTAACAGA